TATTATGTCAATTCATTTCTTAACTAATCATGATTATGTCCTAAGCCTTCATTAATTTGCTCTTAAATTGTACTTGATAAAGATCTCCAAAGTACAAAGAAAAAAACATTGCTTTTAAATAACAATACAACTCAAGAATGTCTCATACCACATTCAGTTACCTAACAGCTATAATATACGGATGACAGCTAATATAAGTTGTATAAATAGATGTAGTTGGTCGTGGAAATGATATAATACAAGATACTTCTGCTTCAGTTGAAAGCAGAACTTCATCTCTATTTTCTCTCTGTACTTTTTGTTGGAGTTCTTCTCATGGTATCATAGAATCATTGATCTCTTATTTTTCATCTTCGTCCTCTCACTTCATCATTGTATAGCTAAATGGCCGGCTCTACCTCCTCCTCACCTTCTATCGATAGCGTCTCATCCATCAACGCTATCCAGATCCCGCCACAGTTAAAATTCTTGATCGGAAATATCAAGAATCTAGTATCAACAACCCTAACCTACGACAACTTTCCACCATGGCGATCGCAAGTGGAAAAAGTGTTTGCTGCAAATGGATTCAAGGGATTTCTTGATGGATCCTGCTCATGTCAGTCACAACAAACAGCTTCATCCGCCGGCGCTCAATCTGCGTACAATATGTGGACTTTACTTGATCAAAATCTAGCTGCTGCACTAATGTCAGTGATTTCACCTTCCATCCTACCATATGTGCTATCTTTGGCTCACTGTGCCGAGATCTAGTCCACGCTCAATCATTGTCTTCAGGCATCAACAAGGTCATGCATAATGCAGTTGAAAAATGAGCTTCAATTTCTATCAAAAGGTGATCACACAATGACTCAATACTTACTTCTTGTAAAATCCAAAGTGGATGCAATTGCAGCCGCAGGATGCCAGATAGAATCGGAAGACATCATACTCCATACTTTAAATGGATTACCAAAAACGTATCAGGCATTTAAAACGGCTATACGTACTAGCCGTCAGCCTCTGGATCTTAATTAGTTATATACGCTACTCTGCACTGAGGAGCAAACTCTAGCTCGAGAAGCTACTCGTGACCTGCAACTACTTCAAATTTCGGATAAAAAATGGCACTAACCGCATCCCGTGGACGCGGTCGTGGTCGATACAATAACTATCGTGGACGATTCGCTAACAACAGCAATTATCGAAAATCAACAGTTCCAGCAGAGAAACAATCAAACTGATCAATTATCTGTCAAATCTGCACAAAACCAGGTCACTCAGCACTCAAATGCTGGCACAGACATGATCATTCATATCAAGAAACATCAAAAACTGCTCTATTCACCCCATTAGATGAAGCTCGGTCCAATGAATGGTTCTTGGATAGTGGGGCATCTACTCATCTCACTGCAGATTCTACTCAAATCAATTTGGCGGAACCTTACACAGGTAACTCACAAGTTACACTTGGAAATGGACATCAGTTATCTATCTCAAACACTGGCAAAGGTCTCCTCCCAACCCACACAGGTAATCTTAAACTTAATCAGATTCACCACGTTCCAAATCTCTCATTCAACATACTATCTGTATACCAACTCGGGACAATGCATGCACGGTATCCTTTTCCTCCTCTGGTTATCAAATCAAGGACTCACGGACCAATCGTATCTTACTTTAGGGACCTAGTCACAATGGTCTCTACTCCATAAATCCATCCAAAGCTACATCATCTCTGGCTCTATTTTCGGCTCAACTGGTTCCAGATTTATGGCATAATCACCTTGGTCATCCCCACCACCGCAAGCTCCAACTAATAACCAATCTAGATCCTACAATCTGTACTACTCTACACAATAAGAAGTGTAATACATGTAATCTTGCCAAGAGAAACGATTACCATTTACTTCTTCTATTTCCAACACAGCATCTACATTTGAACTCATACACTCGGATGTATGGGGACCCTCTTCTTCTGTTTCAATACATGGTCATCGTTACTATGTCTCATTTATAGATGACTATTCCCATTTTTGTTGGGTATTTCCACTAAATCAAAAATCTGATGTAGTTCATAAATTCATTGAATTCTATCATTGGGTCAGATATCAATTTAGCAAATCCATAAAATCATTCGTACTGATGGCGGTGGTGAGTACATTAATCATCACTTTCAACAAGTATGCAAATCATGGGGAATCACACATCAATACACGTGTCCTTATACACCGGCTCAAAACGATGTTGTCAAACGCAAACACCGGCATATAATTGAAACAACTAGAAGTCTTCTTGTTCAAGCCCAAGCTCCACATGAATTATGGGTTCAAGCTCTTATTACTGCTGTTTATCTCATTAATATCATTCCAAGTTCCAAGCTCCACAACAAAATGCCGTATGAAAACCTATATAATAAAATCCCTGTTTATGGCCACCTGAAAACTTTTGGATGCTTGTGTTATCCATGGCTTCGACCTTACACCAAATCAAAGCTATCATCCCTATCTACACCTTGTGTCTTCATTGGATATGCTGGATCCCAAAAAGGCTATCACTGTTTTGATCCTACTACTCACAAAATCTACACATCAAGACATGTTGTATTCAATGAAAGTGAATTCCCTTATTGTACATATACATCTTCACCACAATCGTCAAATTCTTCCACCAACATATCTCCACTACTTCTAGTACCATCAATTGCAATATCCAAAATTCCTCATACAAGATCACCTCAAAGTTCTGGAACTTTACGAAATTTCTCTCAGCTGCAACCATCTCCACCCTCTTCAACATCACATGATAATTCCGAACTGTTTGTACCCATTTCTACATCAAACTTACCAATTCTCAACTCACACAACACAATTCCTGTTACTCTACAAATCGAATCAACCACAAACAAACCCCAACAGCATTCAACACATCCCATGAAAACCCGTTACCAACAGGTCATCTTAAACCAAAACAAATTTTCAATCTAACTCATCAAACCACCCATCAAGATCCTACCTCGTATAACCAAGCTTGCAAGCACAAACAATGGCGGGAAGCCATGTCAGAAGAGTTCCAAGCTCTTCAATTGCAAGGTACATGGGATCTAGTTCCACCTTGTCCAAACCAAAATCTACTCGGATGTAAGTGGACATTCCGTACAAAATACAATTCATATGGGACTATAGCAAGACATAAAGCTCGACAGGTAGCTTTGGGTTACAAGCAGGAATACGGACGAGATTATCATGAGACATTTAGTCCCGTAGCAAAAAAACCAACACTGAGAGTTCTTATTGTTCTAGCTCTTCATTACAAATGGTATATACATCAATTGGATGTATCAAATGCATTTTTGCATGGTAAGCTTACGGATATGGTATACACCGCCAGGATTTTCGGATGCTATTCATCCAAATTATGTATGCAAGCTTAAAAAGGCTATCTATGGATTGAAACAATCCCCTCGTCAATGGTTCGAAACACTATCAGGAGCCTTACATACACTTGGTTTTAAAACAAGCAATTCTGATCTGTCGCTTATGATCTACAATCAAAACAAAGCTCAAATATACTTCTTGATCTACGTAGATGATATCATGCTAACGGGAAATAGCAAGGAGATTATACAGAAAACGCTCGATTACCTACATAGCAAATTCAAAATGAGAAATCTGGGCTCCTTATCTCAGTTTCTTGGCATTACAACCGAATACACTTCATCAGGTGTTATTCTAAATCAATATCGTTATGCCCAAACGATCCTAGATCGAGCTGGTATGTTGAATTGTAAACCAGTGGCTACTCCAACTCAACTAAAACCACCAGTTATCAAGACCGAAGACAAGCCATGCACAAATCAGCTACTATACCATCAATTGGTTGGTGCTCTTCAATACTTGACTTTAACCAGACCGAATATTTCATATGCAGTGAGCAAAGTAAGTCAATACATGCATCATCCATTAGAAAGTCATTTTTAAGCTTTAAAAAGAATACTTCGGTTCATTAAAGGTACAACTCACTATGGATTACCTATCTCTGGTGAATCAATTAAACTACATTCCTATGTAGATTCAGATTGGGCAGGTGATCAGTTGGATCGGAAGTCAACTACTAGCTTCTGTAATTTTCTAGGAAATTCTCTTATTTCCTGGAGTATAAAGAAACAACAAACTATAGCTAGATCTTCGACAGAAGCAGAGTACAGAGCCTTAGCCTCTGCTGCTGTCGAGATAATCTGGTTGAGACAACTATTGCAAGAACTAGATTGCAAGCAAAGATCTTCCACACCTCTATATTGTGACAATACATCAGCTATAGCACTAGCAAATAATCTAGTTTATCATGCTCGTACAAAGCATATAGAGGTTGATTGTCATTTTATTCGAAACTGCATCAAAGATCAAACAATTCACGTTCATCATATTTCAAACAAAGATCAACTTGCTGATTTGTTCACAAAATCATTACCTAGTGCTCGATCCAAGCTAATCTCTTCTACCGAAACATCAGCTTGAGGGAGGGTGTTAAATAACAATACAACTCAAGAATGTCTCATACCACATTCAGTTACCTGACAGCTATAATGTACGGATGACAGCTAATATAAGTTGTATAAATAGATGTAGTTGGTCGTAGAAATGATATAATACAAGATACTTCAGCTTCAGTTGAAAGCAGAACTTCATATCTGTTTTCTCTCTGTACTTTCTGTTACAGTTATTCTCAATTGCAAGGAAATCTCAGCCTTTTGATATTTTTGCTTAACAAAAATATATAGCAAGTAATAATTAGAGGAAATAGACTGACACTGAATAGATATTCTCATGCAAATGAACTTGGTTGAACCTAAAACATTCAATCTAGCTCAATTACAAATTCACGTACATCTACAAAGTACAATGGCAGAAAAAGGGCCGGCATGAAACCATAATAGCATTAGATTTTAGCCATCATAGGTTATGCAGTGCCAAAAAAGAAAGAAAGGTATATTTTAAAAGCGTTGCAGAAGTAACAATTACCTGGTTAACATAATGAATAAACTTGTCCATTTGTTTGAACCAGGAATTTGCGTATTGATACTTAAAATCAGTCCCCATGGTGAACATGATATGATTAGTACGTGTAATATTTGCCTGAAACATAAATGGCAGATTTAGTATTTCATTAGGCATATTAGGCTAGATGGAAATTATACAATAGGCCAATATAAGAAATCAAAAGAGGTTCAAAAAACCACAACAGAAGCAAACCTTGAAAGAGAAGGGGAACAAGAACTAAGGGCCTGGGGCAATTTTTGGGGAGCACTTCATTTGAAATTTTTTGAGTCAATAGGCATTCCAAACAACACACCCAACCCCCCATCCCACCCCCCAACCCAACTCAGGACCATGCTCACCGACAATAAATCAGTATATTGAATAGATTCTCAAATTTTATTGCTTCATTTCTACCTCGGCTTTCCTAATATGGAGCTCAAGCATATGCAAATTCCTTCTTAAAAATATTGAATGGTCCTGCAAAATCAAGCCCTTTGCTTGCCGCTCCAGCACTAAAATTAAAAGGAAAAAAAAAAAGTACAGTAACTTTACTTCTAACCTCCCTTTTGAAACCTGTATGTTGAAGGTATGGTCTTTTCATCACTTAAACAGAAAACCAATGCACAGAAAAAAAAAGTGCAATGCTAATTGGACAGCAATACATGACCTTTCTGCGGTAACGATGACAGATACTTGGAATAATAAAAGATTTTCATACCTGTGATATAGCAGCAGAAACAAAATCATTTACTCGTTCCTGAACATTGTAATCAAACAAAAGTAGATCGTCCTGCAAACAAAAGAAAGCATTAAATTAAAATTTTTACCCATTGCCATTCAAAAAAAAGAACAGAACGCCAAACAAATTTACCTGAATGACTGGGGAGTCGTCATTAACCTCAAAATAAAAACCTCCAGGAGGAGGTTCATAGTTTACAGGAAAAATGCCAGTAAAAACCTGGTGAAAAATCAAGTATAGTAAAACTTGAACAAAAGAGCCAAAGATGAATTGGAAACATGAAAGTCATGATATCAACAATCATGGATCAAGCAAACATAGCCGCTTGCAAGAGCAAAAAAATTTAAATAAGAAACACTTACGTCGGTTGATGAACCAAAAGTCTTGGAACCCCTCCATACAACCTCAAGACTTTTCAAGTCCTTTCTTTCATCCCTATCTTGGTAATCAATTCGAGAAAAATACAGAGCATCAAATCCAACCTGCAGAGAGTCCAAATTTATTCCATGCAAAACGTGGCTTTCAGGAAAAAAAAGGACTGTCCTAAAGACTAAAAAGTTCAATAGCATCAAGATGATTATGTTATGATTTTTTTTATGTAAAACAGTGAGTATTTTACTTCTACACAGTGATAACTCAAAATATGGAATTTTAAGGGTAATAAGAGAAATTAATAGAAAATGATCTCGCTAAACATTTGCAAGAGGATGTTACTTGGTGTATGTTTTTTGCTCATGATATTCTTCTTGTTGATAAGACTAGAGAGGGAGTTGAAGGTAAACTTGAATTATGGAGGTCAACTTTAGAGTCTAAGTGTTTTCGCTTGAGTAGATCCAAAACTGAATATATGGAGTGTAATTTTAGTAGCAATAGACCTAGTGAGGGGATTGTGACTTTGGGCGATCAAGTCATTAATAAGAGTACACGTTTTAGATATCTTGGATCTATTGTTCAGAGTGACGGTGAAATTGATGTGGATATTATCAACAGAATTCAAGTTGAATGGTTGAAGTGGAGGAATGCATCGGGCTTATTGTGCGATAGAAAAGTTCCCCACAAACTTAAGGGTAAATTCTATAAGATTGTGCTGAGACCTGCAATGCTTTATGGTGTCGAATGTTGGTCATTAAAAGAGAAGCATAATACTAAGTTAAGTGTTGCAGAGATGAGGATGCTTAGGTGGATGAGTGGCTTGACCCTTAGAGATAGGATATGAAATGAGCATATACGTGAAAAGGTTGGAGTAGATCCAGTGGAAGATATGATTAGAGAGAGTCGCCTTAGATGGTTTGGTCACATTAAACGGAGGCCTTCCAATAACCCGGTTAGGAAAGTTGAGGTATTAGATTTGACTTATGTTAAGAAAGGTAGAGGTAGACCTAAAAAGATTTGGTTAGAAAATAATAGAATTGATCTTTCTTTATTACATTTAAATGAGAATTTGACTTTTAACCGTACACAATGACGAAAAATGATTCATGTAGCCGACAATATTAATTATTTAATTAATTATTTAGTTACTATTTACATTATTAATTATCTAATAATTTTTAAAATTTCTTATTTTATATTAATTAAATTACATATTAATTCCTACGCAATGTGCTTCTCTTTCTTCTCCCCCGCATTCTTCATTGTTGGACTTTGTGTGCTTCGCTAAGGTAGGGTTTTGAACAAGTCACTAAAGCCTTTCTTCGTCTCCATCAACGACGTTTATTCTTGTCGAATCAGAATTTGAGAAAGTTCGTCATTCTTCCTGTTGGATTGGGCATAGCGACGGGAGGGTTTTGAACGAGACACTAAAGCCTTCTTTGCCTCCTTCGACGACGCTCCTTATCAGAAGTCGTGAAAGTTCGTCGTTCTTCACGTTGCATCGAACATAATGACAGGAGCTCGCTCATTGTGAAGGTTACTATCGTTCTCCATTTTATTCTTCTTATTATTATTATGGTTATTCCGATCATATCCTCGCTACAATCTGCATTTTCCGTTATTTTTTAATGGCATGACCAAAATGACCAAATTGGTTCCTCAAAATAGTTGGGGATCATTTTGGTCCCTCCCAAAGAGTTAAGGGACCATTTTGATCTTTTTCTCATAAAACAGATTTTGATCTATGTATCCTGCTAAGTAGCTGTTGAGTTAATTTGTGATATGGTGACTTGAAAAAGTTCAAGGGTGAGTGTCATGGTCCACATGTTCTTTCCTCTTGATCCGCATGTCTTCATGGCAAGCAGCAATACTACTCTCATTAATGATGTATTCTCAATGTGATCATGGTATTAAATCTGAATCATTAATGAAACTTAGAGAGTCAAATTAGTGGATAGCACGTGAAAAGAAAACAATAGATGAAATTATTATCTGAGGTTGTGGAAATTTTCTGTAGAGGTTATCTGAGAAGAGAAATGCATAGGGCCAAAAACAAACACTCATCAGAGGCCTTCTGAAGAATACAGTCACGAAACAGTGGCAGTATTTTTCATAAATTTTGTAGCTAGAAAAAAGAAAACAATGATGAGACAGAAACAGCATTAAATGCGCCAGAGAAGACCGCTAAGCAAAGGAGGTGAATCAGTTATCTAATGCTCTTGGTTTGCAACCAAACTACCAAAACAACATAAAACCTGCTTATGCTAACAGATTTGGGCTAAACTTTACCAATTTCATTTTGCACGGCGTCCGATCATTAAGCATGACAGTTTGTCATTTCAAAAGCTAACTCAAGTCCTCTTAATTTCTTCAATGCTTTTATTAGTGCTTTTAAACTCTTTCAGAATCCATGTTCTCAAATAATACATGGTTGGAGGTTTGAACCCTCTCCCAAATGCTCCAACTGAATGAATCATGTTGTAATATGCAGGTGATGTTACAACGAATCATGTTGTAATATGCAACTGATGTTGTAACAATAAATGGAATTGCATTTTCGTAGAAGAACTTGCTTATATCTTTACAACTCTTCTTCGTGCCTCCCTTGCATTTTCTGGGGCCATCTTCTGCGTAGAAGGAGGCTTATCCTCTGATGTGTCCACCATATAATGATGCTCACTCCGTAGTAAGAGCCAGCATCAACTCTGTCCTCAAATTGCTTCTGTGCAAGATGTTTTGATGTGATATACTTATTCATGTATGACTTTATCTCCTCCCTTACAGCATCAAAAACTTTGGAGCATGAAGCAACATTCTTGTGAGACCCTGAAAGGTGATCCTTCATCCTAGTCACACCACCCTTCACAACTTTGTCACAGTAATTGCATTTTAGATAAATATATATTTTATCACTTCCCCCTACATCTACCTGAGTGTTATGTTTCCATGCTGGATCTTTTTTATGACCTGATGCAATTTTATTCTTACTTATGACCATCCTTTATGAGAAAAATATATTAGTGTAATATATCAAATTCCTAAACATAATGTTTTACTTATTCTACATTAAAAAAACTTATACAAAACATGTAATTATGAAGAAGCAGACTAACACTAACAACTATTACTAAAGATGATGAATACAATAATATGCCGGTCTGTCGGGGGTCCAAGGGGACGCTGCTCCCTACCAGGGCTCGACCTGTCCAAGCATATACCGAGCGATATCTACCATGTACCGAGCATGTACCTAGTGGTACTAAGCATTGTTGTACCGAGTGGTACCGAATAGTACCGAGCATGTACCTAGTGATACTGAGCAGACAGACCGATTGTGGAATCTTACTCAGCAGAATATGGAGGTCCATATGGCAGAACGGACCAATATTGTATTTCACAATAAGGTGATAGATGGAACCACGAAAAAGAAGAGCTTTCAATAGTCGATCGAAGGAGACTCCAGCACAACTCACGATAGACGAGAACTCCAAGCAATAGGCAAAGAGCAACTCATGGTGAAAGGAAGTCGACGCTAGTCGAATGGAAGGAACTCAGGAAGAGGGAAAAATGTCGCTCGAAGAAGAAGGGAGAATAAACCTAGTTTTGGTTCGTAAAGGACCGAAGACGCACGGGGGTGGGGGGCCGAACCGAATAGATATATATTAGGTTAGGATTTTTTTTAATTTTAAGAAGCGGACACCTCTAAAACATGAGGCGAGGCGCGCCTCAATGAACTTGAGGCGTGCGCCTCAATGCCAGCTCTCATTACGTGGGCTTTGAGGCTTAAAAGTTTAAAATTGCATTGAGACGCACCTTGAGGCACGCCGCTTATTGCGCAATTTTAAACCATGATATTGATTATTGTTAATTTAATCAAAAAATTAAAATTTACTAGTAGCTCTAAAAACTAAAACATTGAGGTGAAAGAATTGGTCTTCAAAAGAAAATCGAGGTGGGTGATTATATTTTTATTTTATAATTATAGTTCTATTTATGATTAAATGCATTTACTAACATGGCATATTGTATGTATGCTTGCTAATCATAACACTACCTCACATTAAAAGGAAAAATCAACTGACCTTTATTATAGTATAACACATTAAATATGAACACGTCTCATTAAAATTCATGTATGCACAAACTAAAATGTAGAAATAAAATAAGGTAATGAAAGAAATATATTAAAAGGAAATATACATACATGCTAAATGAAAGAGCTCAAACCCTTATAATACTGGCAAGAAAAGCAATGTATCCGTGCACGAAAGATGGAAAAGATTAGAAAAGAAAATGAAAATGAAAATAATTATCTCATAATTGGTTCAAACTTCAAACCTTAAACGGAGTTCCTAAAATGAATGGCATATTAAAAGTTTATAATCTAACAATTACAGTTTAAGAGAATGCTTTATGTAAAATGATGTTTTTATCTTATCAATGCTCATGTTTAAATTCTTTTAAATGAAAAGTTTAATGATTACCATAATAACAAATATGCATATTATTTCTATTGCTGTATTATAGAACTCTAATTAACTGCGGATAGAGAAAGTGCTATGTACAGAAGAAAAGGAGCGAATTAGAATAGGTAAAACTTAGTAGATCATTTTAATTGTTTTTAAAAGAAATTTAATTACCGTCCAAATAGTTGTTTCAGACTTGATAATCAAGTCAAGCCAGATCGTGACGAGAACAAAACTAACTTTGCAAGAATGAAAACAGCGGAGCACATTGCCGTAGAGACTTCAAGTTAGCCTATCAATTTAATTATGCACTTCTCATGAATTATTGACTTTGCAATTATTATACTGATTACCGCATACGAATGTATTTATTCCTTTACCTCTGCGGAAAGCAAATAAGCCTGTACAGCCGAATGTCCAAACGGATCTATCTGCCAACCAATCCTCGGAATCTGCGCAAACTCCTGCTTAATGAAGCGATGGCCCAGGGTTGTCTGATCAATCATGTCAATATAATGCGAAGCCGCCTCATCATGCATGCAGAAGCCCCCGTTTCTTCAATCAAAATTTTGAAAAAATTATTGAGGAACTAAGCGACGATGTGCAAGCCAAAACTTGATAACATGCGATTTACGAAAAGTATTCCCTAAAAGATAACTAAGAAGAATTAGGTTGAAGTACATTAACTCTAGTCGACCGGAGCTGATCAGTCCCTTCACGATTTTCTTTATTGCATTACTCTGTTGCCTCCACCAACGCTGGAAAAACGCCTACAAACACCACTCATCATCAATTGTTAACCTAGAACACCTGATAATAGTTCCCCTAGTTCATCCCAAATCAAAAGAAATGCGTCAGAACCGAAGAAAGGAAGAACCTCAACCTGCTCAACATATATAAACTTCCTGTTCTTATCCTCCAGAAGGGCAGAAACAACTGAATCCAAAACGTTCCGCACGCATGCTCCCTGGATGGAGTTATTCGAACCAACGTAATACTGGTCGATGGTCTTCAGCCAGCCGACGTCATCGTGAGAGTGAGGAACAAGGTGGACGTTGAGCTTTCCCGGGACAATCCCGGCGGTGGTGTTGTAGGCAATATACTCAGCCTCGGAGAGATAGTAGAAAGCTGGAGCGAAGAAGATGAGGAGCACCAGGAAGCCAGACGGCCGGTGGTAAGCCATTGGCGGCGACGCCGTGGAGCTTTCACGGTTTGTGGCCTGGAAGAATGTAGTCCAGTGACTAAGAGTAACAAGAAGGACGAAGTAATGGATTGAGGGGTTTGGGCTTTATGACTTTATCCTCGTTTCTTCTTTTTGAAAAATTGATATAAATAATAGTTTTTACTTTTTATACAAATATTTCTAATATTTTACTATTTTATTATATATTTTATTATTTTTTTTTTTTTTTTGGATATTTGAT